GTACAATTAAACATGACCTATAATTTATGTTATTTTTTAGGAAATAAAGATTTTGTTATCGAATTTCTGAGACGGGGTTACTCTGTTGTGTTTGTATTGTTCGCCTATCGGGAAAGAATTGTCTGGGGATAATCGACATCCCCCACCAGAATCCTAACCGGCCTACTATCCTAATTTGTCTTGCGTGTTGCTGTTTTCCGTCAACAACTCTATGATACCAACTCAGTCATAAGGAAACATTTTTCGACAAAATTCACTGTACAGTATAAACCTAGCCAGGCAAAATTAACAGAGTTATGCCCGCCCCTTGATTCTAACACATGCTATGTTTGCAAATGAATCGAAGAAAGCAAAGACGATTTTACAAAGAAAAGACAAAAAAGATTAAAACGAGTAAAAGATATAATCAAACATATATTTTATTTATTTTATATTTTTTAAGAATTCCCCGAATATTCCCACAACCTCTACTTTTTGAGGTTTGCAAATATTTTCTCCTTAAACACTTAATTTTGTTTGTTTTTGTTCTTTTTCATAAATAAATGATTACTTACTTACTTAACACAAATCATTATCAACTGACTTTCCGGGAAAAAATACAAAAACTCGCGAAATTTTTTTTTTGTGATATAAAGTTTTTATTTCGCAAAATTTTTTTTAAAAGCCGTAAATTTTTGCTTCTTTTTTTACGAAATGAAGGAAAAAAATGCATAGTTTTCGGCGAAACGATTTTTCAATTTCACTGGAAAACAAATAACAATACACTGCACAAAAATTGTCAATCATTTTACAAAGAAACGTCCAGATTTGTAAAATATTGGTCGGCGTGTTTCTAAATTCATAGATACGGAAGGTAGATATGTCTATTTTTATTTAAATATATGTATTTAGTTTTTTATATTGTAAGCTAATTCATATTTGGAATGGTTTCATCTAGTGTATTTTTTGGGAGAGTGATTTAATATCTGTGAATACTATTTTGAAGAAAAATCACGAAAATTCTGAACCCTGATGTATAATGTTCTAAACAAAACGTCAAAAAAAAACCAAGAAAACTGTCTTGAAGCTTTAAGATTTCTTAAAAATGGAATTTCTTAATCCACATAGAATTCAAATTTTATCTATTATCCTACCAAAGATTCCGGAATCGACAGAACTAAAATTTCAAGCCAAAATACTTAAAATTGCTCCAAGTACACAATGCAAGATGCATAGTGCAAGGTTAGGTTTACCAGGTCTCAAAAATAAATCGCATTTAAGGTTAATATAAACATTTTAATTGTATAATTATAATAAATACTAATCATATATAACATAATTATTTGATTTTGATTTTCAGATAGAGAGACACAATTAAAAATACACAAAAATAAAATAACATTTTTACATAAAATTTGAATAAAATTCGAGTACAATACTGCAAATCATGATATCTTGAAATATAAACACTTCATGATATTTTGATGATAGTTCAAATAATCAGTTTTAATATAAAAATCTATTTTTTCGATGTAACTCTGATCCACTGTGAGAAATCAAAGTCCTTGAAGCTAACTGACTCCTGCAAAAATATTTATCTTTAAAGGGACTGTAGAGCGTATAATATCAAGTGTTTAAAGGGACTGTAGGGCGTATAATATCAAGTGTTTAAAGAGACTGTAGGGCGTATAATATCAAGTGTTTAAAGGGACTGTAGGGCGTATAATATCAAGTGACACGATCCAATTAAAAAGTGAAAAGTCCTATTCACATCAGTAACATTTAAGTATTTATCTGATAATGGATGGATGAGATATCATAATTTTTCTATTTATAAATTGATTGTTTTCAACTGGGGTCACTCTATAAAATTTACTAGCGGATGTGCGCTACCGAAAAAATGGATTGAATTATTAGAATTTAACACTTTTCAAGCTAAAGGAGGACAGTTTCCTTATCATTACTCCAAGCCAGGTTTAAAGAGTACCGCTGTGAATCGGGAATGGAGTTTCACTTGATATTACGTGTACAGTCCCTTTATATATTACGTGTACAGTCCCTTTTAACATTTTAGTAATTTAGCGAATATCTTAATAATTTACTCAGACCATCTCTAGGCTTCTAAAAGCTTCTTTAATTAAGAAATAATTTTCAAATGTGACAACGTAATTTTTATTAATTACCTCCATTAGTGTCGTCATTTTTAACACGCTCTTAGAACCAGTTGGGTGAAAACGGGTTATATCCTGAAAATAAACCGGTTATATCCTGAATATAAAAGTGGTATACCCTGAATATAAACCGGTTATATCCTGAATATAAACCGGTTATATCCTGAATATAAACCGGTTATATCCTGAAAATAAACCGGTTATATCCTGAATATAAAAGTGGTATACCCTGAATATAAACCGGTTATATCCTGAATATAAGCCGGTTATATCCTGAATATAAAACTGGTATATCCTGAAAATAAACCGGTTATATCCTGAATATAAACCGGTTATATCCTGAATATAAAACTGGTATATCCTGAATATAAAACTAATTATATCCTGAACATAAAACTGGTATACCCTAAATATAAACCGGTTATATCCTAAATATAAACTAGTTATATCCTGAATATAAAACTAATTATATCCTGAACATAAAACTGGTTATATCCTGAATATAAACCGGTTTTATCCAGAATATTAACTGGTTTTATCCTGAATATAAAACTGGTATATTCTAAAAATAAAACTAGTTATATCATGAATATAAAACTGGAATATCCTATTGAAATAAAATTGGAATATCCTGAATAAAAAGCTGGTATATCCATAATATAAAACTAGTTATATCTTAATTATGAAACTGTTATATCCTGAAAATAAAATTGGAATATCTTGAATATAAAACTGATATATTCTTTACCTCGAGAACCCTTCCCGTCTTCTTCTCCCAGATTGCGCGCAGGCCGCGTACAAATCTCTGAAGCGCAGATTCTGAACCCAGGGTTAAATGATGAACAGTTTCCTGTAGATGCAAGGAGATACTCTCCACCATACTCTGGTAGATATCCTAAATATTCGCCGCCATTATTCTCAACTTTTCATTTATAATTTTAGCTGAATAGATTTTTTTAGGGCTCTTAGATAAAAGGAATTGAAGAGACTGAACATGTGATTTCAAGTAAACCTATCTCTTGAAGAATTGCATACTCGATTAACATCGATACCCTTTACTCCTTTGTCTAAGCAACAATAGAAGAAGTATTTTTGTCTTAAATTGTGTCAATTTCATTTTTGACGCATAAATCCGCAAGCCATTTACATTTTAGGAAACCATAAATCAAATCAAATCAATTTCACCAGAAAAACAAACATATCGGAGTAATTTTTGCCTAATTGAATATTTAAAAGTTACCGTTGTGAATTAGGCAGGCCTCTCTTCAAATGGATTGCATTGTCAGTCCCTTTAAGTTTATATGGTTTCCGTTCTTTAAACCATTTGATTTGCCGTTTAAAAACCTCTCAAATGTAATCAAATTCTAATTCTCTATTAATTTCTTTGATATTTTCCATAAAGTACGGTACAAAGAAAGAAAACTATTTTCCTCAAATTATTAAAAATATAATATTTTTACTTACAGTGGTAGGCGATAATATCAATACAATGAAGACTAATTTCGATTTAAATTTTGATTTATTTCAAGCTGTTAAACAACATGGATACACATAAAACAGAAGTCAAGAGAAGCTGTCTGTAATTAATTCCGCAGTAGCTGTATCCCTATCTTTCTACTTTGCCGTTCTTATCATATTTTGTGTTATAGTTCTATCTTTAGTTTTGTTACCTGGTCGGTCATACCGGTCTGTATAATCATGTTCGTAAATAAATTAGTTGAATACAATCTGTTGTTCAGTATAAACGTAATCAGCCTGGGTATGCTGATTATTAGAGTTTGAGGCATTTAGCCAAACATCAGTCGGGATTGACTGCCAGTTAGAGTTTGAGGCATTTAGCCAAACATCAGCCGGGATTGACTGATAGTTAGAGTTTGAGGCAGTTTAGCCATAAAGTTTAAGTAAGGAGAGACGGGCTAGATCGTTACATGTCGATTAAAAAAGCTTCTTTTTGATTACTTGTAAACTTGTAATTCGAAAAAAGCTTCTTAACAATCAAAACTTATCATCGTTAAACATTTAGGAGGTAGTTCTGAAAAATATACACCCCTGAAATTATATTAAAACATTATCCCTGATTTTGCTAAATCTTCTTAGATTAGCTAGATTAGTTGACACAAATAATTATTTTTTAGTTAGTTTTTGCGATCTATAAAAATGCATTCATTAACTAGAGAAATTTTCTAAACCATTTATTGCAAACTTCTTCTTACAATATTTGGGTTTCAGGTAATTTTAAACGTTTTAGTTACGTTTAGCGCCAAAAAAAACTTACCTTTTTCATCCTGGGCCAGTTGGAAGGATAATACAGAAATAGTTTCTTCAGAACCCTGAATCTATGACATAATTCTACAAATTTTAAAATTTTAACATTTCTCTGTTTGCTTTTAGAATTCTTCCATGGATTCCCTAATGTAAATCAAATATTATAGAACAAACTGCATTCCTTGATTTGCTTCATCAGAAGTTCTTCTTCTTCCTGGTTTAGCTCAGTAACAACAGGAATAGGATTGGAACGGACCTACACATAGAAACATATTGGAACGGACCTACACATAGAAACATATTGGAACGTAACTACATAGAAACATATTAAAACAAAAAATTATTGGAACAGAAACATAAAAACATATTCGGACGGACCTATACCGTACACATATTCATATTCATATTCATATTCATATTCATATTCATATTCATATTCATATTCATATTCATATTCATATTCATCATATTCATATTCATATTCCTATTCATATTGGAACACGAACAGACCAAGACATAGAAAATAGAAACGGGTCAAGACATAGAAACATATGAACAGACCAAAAGACACAATTATTAGAACATAGCTTAAAAATAAATGAAAATAATTTATTTGCATCGTATTTTTGGCTTTCAAAAGGACCTTACAAATCAGAGAGATTGATAAAAGATTGAAATTGAATGTTGCATTATTTTTAATATGTATAATATTGACTTAAATAGATGATAAATGATTTGGAAAATCGAACGTCAATGAAGAATTTAATATTCTTCGTCCAGGTCATGAAACAAAATAAAACATACTAATGATCTAAATATAAGTTAAATATTTAACGAATTCTATGAAGTGTATACTTAAGAAGGAAAAATCATAAACAGAGCAGAGAAATTGAAAAAATAGCCATTCAAACACACTCAGCATAAAATTAAATAAGTAAATGGACAAACATTATTCCGCAGAAATCAGAGCCGAGCCTTCATGAAAGCAATAGTATTGACTACAAAAAAAAACTATCTGTGAAACGATAAGGGATGAAAACATTGATTTAGTTGATAAACTTACTCGTTCTTGCAGAATATCCACGGTCTGATCAATGAATCCTTGAACCTTCATTGAATCTCCTAGAACCAGATAATAACAGTCCTCTCCTCCCAACCCAGAGTAATAATATCCAGCCCCAGAACCCATCCTGGAGAAGTATAGAGCTGGAGGTGGTTTAGCGTCTACACCAGATAGTTCTAGGAGAACAGGAGGTTTAGTATCTACACTAGATAGTTCTTTGTAGAACAGAAGGTTTAGTATCTACACTAGATAGTTATAGGAGAACAAGAGGTTTAGTATCTACACTAGATAGTTCTAGGAGAACAGGAGGTTTATTTTCTACACTAAATAGTTCTGAAAGAACAGAAGGTTTATTATCTACACTAGATAGTTCTCAGTAGAACAGGAGGTTTATTTTCTACAATAGACAGTTCTACAAGAAAGTATAATTAGTAGAACAGGAGGTTTAGTCTCTACAGTAGATAGATCAAGAAGCAAGGTAAAATAAGCAAAACAGGAGGTTTAGTCTCTACACTAGATAGATCTACTAGCAAAGTAAAATAAGCAAAACAGGAGCTGAATATTACCTGATGCTACCCCCTGTCCTCCAAGGAGCTGAATATTACTTAAAGCTACCCCCTGTTCTCCAAGGAGCTGAATATTACTTAAAGCTACCCCCTGTCCTCCAAGGAGCTGAATATTACCTAAAGCTACCCCTGTCCTCCAAGGAGCTGTATATTACCTAAAGCTACCCCTGTCCCCCAAGGAGCTGAATATTACCTAAAGCTACCCCCTGTCCTCCAAGGAGCTGTATATTACTTAAAGCTACCCCTGTCCTCCAAGGAGCTGTATATTACCTAAAGCTACCCCTGTCCTCCAAGGAGCTGAATATTACCTGAAGCTACCCCCTGTTCTCCAAGAAGCTGAATATTACTTAAAGCTACCCCCTGTCCTCCAAGGAGCTGAATATTACTTACAGCTACCCCCTGTCCTCCAAGGAGCTGAATATTACTTAAAGCTACCCCTGTCCTCCAAGGAGCTGTATATTACCTAAAGCTACCCTGTCCTCCAAGGAGCTGTATATTACCTAAAACTAACCCGTCCTCCAAGGAGCTGAATATTACTTAAAGCTACCCCCTGTTCTCCAAGGAGCTGTATATTACCTAAAGCTACCCCTGTCCTCCAAGAAGCTGTATATTACCTAAAGCTACCCTGTCCTCCAAGGAGCTGAATATTACCTAAAGCTACCCCTGTCCTCCAAGAAGCTGAATATTACCTAAAGCTACCCTGTCCTCCAAGAAGCTGAATATTACTTAAAGCTACCCCTGTCCTCCAAGGAGCTGAATATTACCTAAAGCTACCCCCTGTCCTCCAAGGAGCTGAATATTACCTAAAGCTACCCCCTGTCCTCCAAGGAGCTGAATATTACCTAAAGCTACCCCTTGTCCTCCAAGGAGCTGAATATTACTTAAAGCTACCCCTGTCCCCCAAAGAGCTGAATATTACCTAAAGCTACCCCCCATACTCCAATTAGCTGAATATTACCTAAAGCTACCCCCATACTCCAATGAGTTGAATATTACCTAAAGCTACCCCCGTACTCCGATGAACTGAATATTACCTAAAGCTACCCCTGTACTCCGATGAGCTGAATATTACCTAAAGCTACCCCCGTACTCCGATGAACTGAATATTAACTAAAGCTACCCCTGTACTCCGATGAGCTTAATATTACCTAAAGCTACCCTCGTACTCCGATGAGCTGAATATTACCTAAAGCTACCCCCGTACTCCGATGTGCTGAATATTACCTAAAGCTACCCCTGTACTCCGATGAGCTGAATATTACCTAAAGCTACCCCCGTACTCCGATGAGCTGAATATTACCTAAAGCTACCCCCTGTCCTCCAAGGAGCTGAATATTAACTAAAGCTACCCCCTGTCCTCCAAGGAGCTGAATATTACCTAAAGCTACCCCCTGTCCTCCAGGGAGCTGTATATTACCTAAAGCTACCCCCTGTCCTCCAGGGAGCTGAATATTACCTAAAGCTACCCCTTGTCCTCCAAGGAGCTGAACCAGCCTCTGGAGTCTAGAAAGCGGAGCAGAGCTGACCTGCTCCAACCAGTCGCTTGGTTCCTCACTTAAAAAGTTTTTTTTAAATACATTTTTTGAGGGAATGAAAAAAGTTATACAATTTCAGATAATCTGAAAAACTGTAAAAAAAAGTTAATATCACTTTGGTTGAACAAATAAATCAAGAACGAATAAATCAAGAATTTAGGAGACCAATTAATGGATATTGAATATTTTTAAAGACAAGGTTTGAGAATTTTTATCATTTTACTAATACTAGGCCACCAGCGGCATTTCACATGACAATTTCAGATTTTCTCTGTTTTATAAGTGGATTTTTAAATATTTTGTACGAGCACAATTTGTTCATTTCATCCAGCCACAAACCTTTCCAAGGGTTGTAAAAGTTGTAAGTTATTATTAGGTTTTTAAGAGTTCATAGAAATGGTATATTTGTATAGAAAATGTTAATCTCGTCTTCATATAGGAGTTTCGAAATTGTTAAGATTTTTACGGTCAGTTTGTTCGTATTTAACAAATTAATCATAAAATCTTTTCAAAATTTAAATATTCATTGACAATGTTGTGTTTTATGGTTGAACTATTCATTATCACAGAAAAATAATAATTTTCGAATTTTAAACAGATTTTGTAAAACGTTTTATAAGATAATCAGTAGACTTATGTGATTTTATAATTTAATATAATTAATTATAAACTTAGGTCAAATTTTGGATTTTCCGCAAATTGTATGAAAGATGTATTAACTAACAAAATCATTCCATTGGGTTTTGTGATTATTTTCTCTCAATTATTTTCATTGAAATACGCAGTTTATATAATTTTGACTAGCACTGACGCAGGTAACGCAGGGCTCAAGGTATGGCTGAATATTACC